TGCCCCAGCACCACCAAATAAATACAATTTAAAAGCACAGCCTCTAATAGGCTTTTCTTGCCAGAAATAGTGTACACATGTCACTGCATTTTTCATGTTGGGAAGAATGCATTATGTATGACTGACCACAAAAGGAAGAAAGTGTATAAGGAAATCTTTATACAAATTTCTCCAGAATATATGTATGTCTCTTTTCTTTATGATCTGGCTATACATCCTTAAAATATCTTTGTAATAAACCTTAGTTACAAGTACAACTATACATCAAGTCTTTTTGATTCCTTCCTTCTAACAAACCTCCAAATATGGGGAGGTGTCAAGAGACTTTTTTTTTTGTATTCTTTTTAGGGAAGGGTCTCCAGGGTGTTCAGGATCTCACTACTGACCGGACTCATACTGATCCACCTGTTTACAGCCTCCCAAGAGCTGGGATTACAGGTTTGTGTCACCATGCCCAGTCTCAAATGGCATCTCCGTGCACCCTAGGCTGGTGCCTGCCTGCAGGCCCCGGGATAAAACCTGGCCCGTGTTTGCTTGCAGGGCAGGCGCTTTAATCGCTGACCTATTTGGGCAGCCCTAGAGAGACTCTTAATATTGCCCTAGGAACAAACAATTCAAATGTCAATCAAGAAACAAAAAGTATGCCTGTAGGGCCCGCCTGATAGCTCAGTGGACTAAAGCACCTGCTTAATCAGAGCACAGCAGGTGAGGTCCCCAGCATGCCATATGGGCTCCGCCCAGGGGTGGGTCTCACTGCTGAGGCAGCAGGGATTGAGATGGTGGCATGGTGGTGTGTGCCTCTAATCCCAGCACTTGGGAGGCTGAAAGCATGAGAATCACTACTAGTCTGATCTATGTAGTGGGACCCTGTACACCCTGTCCTAAATACAGAAAAGGAAAAAAAAAAAAAAAAAAGTATGCCTGTAAATCAAGCACTCTGAGAGGATGAGACAAGGGTTTGTAAATTGGAGTCCAACTTGGGCAATTTAGTAAGACCCTGTTTCAAAATTAAAAAGGCTGAAGAATGTAGCTCAGTGCACTGGATTCAATCTCCATGACAGAGGGTGGGTGTAAATAAGCTCTTACTATTATTATGAAAATAGTTTTGACCCTTTGCATCTCTAGTAAGGATGTTGGGGAATGCCAGGAGACCATGGAATTAACTTGGAGAATGTGACTTGAAGTACTGAGCTGTGACTCATCTTATTATCACACACAGAGGCTAACATGCAAGAAGGAACACAAAGTAGTTTTACTGGGCTAAACCTTGAAGTAGTTGATAAACACAAAGAACTAGCAGCACTTCCTTGATAAACTCAGTCAAATGATATCTAATTGTCAGTATCAGAAAACCACCCATCTCATAGGCTCAAGACAATCAGTACAAGATAAATTATGTATACCTTGAAAATTCTAAAGAGGGAGTAGAAAGGGGAGGGGAAGTAAAAAGAATTAAAATTCTTTATGTTATGTTTACATACAACTCCCCATGATGAACGTAATGATTATGTACTGCTAACATGTTTTAATAAAAATTTAAGAAAATAAAATTCTAAAGAAACTGTGTACTTCTGGATGGTTAACAACCTAAGTTTGCAGACCAAAATTAGAGAAAAACGAGGGCTACAAGGAAAGCCAACATTTTGGCCCTAGCCTTCTAAGGTCAATTAAGACTCAGGACATATGAGAAC